TCGCCTCAAACACAATGATCTGTTGTTATTTTGACAAAAACACAACGCTGACCCGGCCGGCGCCCCACCGAACCCCCGCGGCGAGCAAGTCAGCTCTATACTGTAGTGTACCGAGCGCTCCCTCGTGGGGGTAACATGCTTTCCGAGTTTCACGGAAGGATTGATGAAAAATAATTCCAAGCCGATTACTTTATTCTAATAGAAAATAAACTGATCTTTCTATTGGTACCTTTTTTGAGCCGGTATTTTACATATTTCGGGTAAAAAAATGGATCTTTGAAAACTTTTGATGGCATTTTTAAAGGCTTTCTAATTAAACGCCTCCATCTAAGGCCAAAAATAAACCACGGGAAAGCCTGTCTAAAGCTCTACAGATCTCCGCCAATGAAAATACGGTATTTAATCCTCTATCTTTCCGCAAAACATTTAAATGCACGCGTGTCAGTTTTTTAACCGGCCGACCACGCGTTCCAACCGCGAGGGTTTTCGCTTTCCACGGCGATTCTCCAGCTCCTAATAATGGGACATATAAACAACTTACACCATATAACAAGGAAAAGCTGAACTTTTACAAGGTGTACAGCATTTAGTGTTTGATAGTGAAAGAGCGAAGTAACAGCTATCTGAATTACCCCGATTTCATCGATACCACGCGCCCGGAAGGCCGCGAGTGCCCGCGACACCATGTTTACGCTACCTAATATATACCCAAAAATTGACGAGTGCCTGATTCCAGCACGTCGTGACACATATCGATACTGACTTTAAAATAGGCTTACTCCTCGGTATTGATGTTTTATCTTTATGAAACTGAGGGATGTACTGCTATTGCTGGGCTACTATGTTTAAGTACTAAATGAGCAGTAATATTTCACGTAGTTTTAACAAGGGGGAAGGTTTCAGGGGGGGTGTGCCCCCCTCCTGACCTAATAAAAACTTGGGGGGGGGGGTTCAGGGAGGCATGCCCACCTGTGTTTACTATAGAACCATTTAAAGTACATTTGATGCTTTGCTCACCGCACGTCAAACAAACATATTGGCATGCGCAGCAGAAAGTATTTGTTTCGACAAAATTAAGCAGTTGAGCCAAAACCCCCACAGTTATCGTTGGGGCTGGGGCGAAAACCAGATTATACAGAGGAAACCTGATATAACAGGGATTGTGGGAGTAGAGAAAACGTCCTGTTATATCCGATTCCTGTTAAATCCGAAATGCAAGGAAAGTGAGCATTTGTGGACTAATCTAACTTATTCATGGGTAGTTTCCCTAGCCACAAGTACCCATGAACAGGGGTTTTGGCACCAACTTTCTCCTTGCCTCCTTAAACCACATCAGAAAAGCTTGGTCCACAGCATCTGCATCGGGTAGTCTCATCTAGTGGTTAGGCTCTCGGACTCTCAACCGTAAGGTCGTGGGTTCGAATCCCGTCAAGGGCCCGACGTTGTGTCCTTGGGAAAGGCACTTTACACGAATTTTCCTCACTTCACCCAAGTGGGAATGGGTACCCGCCTATAGACAGCGAAAAATCTTGTCAGTTTGTTAGTGTTTGAGCGCTTAATCGGCTGCTTGCACTGTATGCTTCCCGGGAAGCTTAGAATGTTTCGGAGTGTTCTATGGTCTGCTGGGGTAATAATATAGTGTAAAGCGCATAGAGCCTGCTGCTGAGCGGGGATATGCGCTATACAAATGCTATCTATTATTATTATTATTATTATCTTCTTTCGATCCAGAGCAAACTTTCAATTGGAGTATGCTGCCACTATCTTCTCTCTATCCTTGATAATGGTGTGAATCGACCCTTGTGGAATGTTGAACTGACGACAAATCTGTGCAGTGGAGCTTGCTTTTTGTCAACAGTCTGGATTATTTATATTTCGTATTTTTTGTCAATTGAAAGGCATTTTCTCTTGCGCTTGACATCTTTGGTGACATAATGAAAGAAGTAGGCTTAGATCTAGGCCGACCGGTCGTCCTCTCTCTCTCTCTCTCTTACTTTTTACACATTGTTAACGAGCCTTTGTCCCTGCTATAACCGGTTAGGCTCCGATGAGGCCCTGTTATTGCCGATAACTTTCAATAGAGACAAAGAGTAGGAAAAAACGGGGATTTAAACATCCCTGTTATTACCGGACCTGTTATATTGGTTTCCACTGTATAATTCCGATAAATGTAGCACGGTTTACACAGTGGTCTCTGGCTAATAACATCCCGGGTAAGCATGATAGACTGCCTTTTAAAGCAGGCTCTCTGCACAGAACCAAATTTTTGCTATATATTAAATTATTATCACTCAGATTTCTACACATAAGACATACCCTGCTGAACAAAATAAAATGTAGAAAAATATAATACTATGGCCACTTAAAACGGCACGAGGCCATTGTTAAAGAGGTGATTGAAGGAAAGATGTGAGGCAGGAGAGCCAGAGGAAGGCAAAAGAATAGCATGGATGGACAACATAAGACGGTGGATTGGCCTGGATATGACAGAATGTGCAAACAGCTGCTTGCGACCATGAAAGATGGAGGGTCATTACACGTCAATCTCTGAATCAAGAGATGACACGTCCAGTATTAGTATTACTAAATCACTAGTTCCAAATGGACAAAAGCAAAATCGTTTCTACGTTAATATCGGAAACCGATCCAGCATAAAACAACTCATTTTGCTTGGAACTGATGGAAGTGAAACAAGCACCACTTGACATTTGTTCACTTTTCCTTGGAACTGTGGTTTTGCGAGGATGATTTAAAAGACATAGAGTAGAGAGGCCTTATGGGACAAGGTATGAGACAAAATTGCTCAATGCAGAGAGCCAGTCCCTGGCCATTCGTGGCGGGCGGACAGTTTAAAAAGGACTGTGTGATTGTTGTGGTGGTAGTTGTCCGTACTACTCAACTTACAAAAACTTCACACTTCAGGGCTCAGGACAAGCTCATTTCATTGACAGCACCCACAGCAGGAGATCAGATTCAAATTCAAGGTGGTTCACATCAATCATTAGAATTGTCTATAAAATGTCCAAACTTCGCCCTAGGATGGTATTTAAAATGGTCTAAAAAAATATATATTATATATAGAGTCTAGGAGGCCAATTGCAAGCGGTTGGTCTGAAATTAATCTTTTGAAATTAATGAATACTAGAGCCCCATGAGTCGGGGATTCACTTTTACCATCTTTCAATGTAGTGTTGGTTCTCATAATCATAGCCAATAAGCATCTTCAGTTTAACTGATGATATTAAAGGCATAGTAGGCATAGCTCTTGCATTCAACCGACTAATTATTAGACAGCTGGTCCGGGCCTCGCCAAGCCAAAGTGAGGGAAATTGGGAATGGATATTGCTGTTCAGGTCATGTGGAAATTGCACCATTGGTAGAACAGTTGCCTTGTACATTAATTCTTTATAAAAGGAGCCCACGGTTTCCTGTTTTGATGTCTCAACAAGGCAAAAACTTTCTCTCACTGGCAGTGAAAAGGATAGGTAAACCAACTACTCACTTTGTTTTTCTATTTGAGCTCCTCCCTCTCTCTCTCTCTCTCTCTCTCTCTCTCTCTCTCTCTCTCTCTCTCTCTCGCTCTCTCTTTCTCTCTCTCTCTCTCTCTCTCTTTCTCTCTCTCTCTCACACACACACAGACACACACACACACACACACATACACTCACACACACACACACACACACACACACACATACTTTCTCTTGAGCATGCCATTCTAATATTTTAGATTCTTTAATGCTTTGATGGTTCTTCAAAAGCTGCCTGGAGGCCAGTGCTTTAGATATTAGTTCCTATCAATGGCAGATGATGTGACATATGTAAACACTGGCTCAAAATAACAACTTAATTTAATAACTTGAAGTATGACAACCACTCTAGCCAGATGCATATCACAAGAAGGCAGCAAGCAATAGTCAAATTTTCCCCCTCTGGCTACCAAAGAAAGTTTCGTGCTCGCATGCTACTTGACCCCTTTGAAGTCAAACAATAGTGAGATTTCTCTCCTATAGCACCCTGACAAACCCTTCCTGGCCTGATGGTGTGGCGTAAAGTTTAGAAAGTTTTGTTTCAAGTGTGATTGAGTGAGAAAAGCACTTTCTGTCTTCGACAGATCAAAACCCTTGGAAGGTAAGGGAAGTCTATGTCCAAGTTAAGATGGTTTCCATTTTACATTATAGTGGAATATATTGGGGGGAGGGGGGGGGGGTTATTTCATTGGGACAGGTTTCCGTAAAGGAAACTGCACTTGCTATGGATAACTCCCCTTCAGTTCAACATTGGCTTAATGTAATAGCGCACTCACATAAGAGCATATTTTTGTTAATACCTAAAGAATGTGTTATTTGCAGAAAATCATATTCCGATGAAAGTGACAAACCTCTTGTGTGTATTCTGTCTTGGCTCATGAATAAGTGGACCTATTGGTTTTTTTCCTTTTTTAAACTTATTACTGTTGTTAGTATGAGTTGTTGTAAAAGTAAAAGGGCAAAATTTGTATTTTACTTTTAGCTTAGACAATGGAACACTTATTAGTGCTGTGCAATTTTGAGGAAACGAAACTTCACTGACACTTGAAAGTGTGGAGTCACTATGTGTGTTGTTCAATAACCATATGTGAAGTATGCTGACAAAATGAGTTACTTCTCAGATTCCAGCCTTGTGGAAATAGGCGCATAGGTGAATTGTGTACAATTTATAAGTATGAAATAATAAAAAGCATGTTATAGTTTTAAAATATGGCATCAATAGAAAATCTGCAAATTCGACCCTAGTGTTGACTTCTGGCCAATATCTCCATTTGTGGATTTGCGAAAAGTAACTCATTAGTCAGCACACCTCATATATATATATATGTATGGTTTTTTTTTCTCTTGCATTAAAAATTCATAAGCAACATTTGGTATCTATCGAATATTCACTGTTCTAGTAAGTAGTGTTCAACTCTCTCCCTTTGGTGCACCACATAATATCTAATCCTATCCTCTTTTTTGTCTCAGCATAACCAGAATTTTCATCTATCTACCAGACTTTCACAACTACAGAGTAACTGATGGGATTGATGCCATCAACTTCTGAGGGTTGCGACTTTCAAGCTGATCAGCCACTTGAAATAATAAATTTGGACAACTTCTGCTGAACCTTTTTCCTGATGGAGTATTTTTTGTATCCTTTTATTAAGTTGTAGAATGCCACAAACTTGTTTTGTTCTCAAAGAAGTTTCTAGAAAAGTTCATAAGAACACCATGAAGTGCAAAATTAGTTTCAGAGTTGTTGTTTATTTTCATGTGTAGTAAAGATTGTTGCTTTTCTTTTTTATATATATAGGATCTCTTTCCTGGTCAAATGGAGCTGGTGGTTTGACAAATGTATGTGTGCCTAAAGAAAGGTACCAAAAGTCGGATTTTGACCATTTTGAGTTAAGGGTTGTACCTTATAGGAAAATAAATGCTGAACACAGGGGTCTTTGAATTTTTTAAAGATATTTCAAGTACCGACAGTTTTTTTTAGATATTGCACATTTTGCGAGGTAGGGTTGTTGTTATGTTGTTATCGATCCAGCGCGAGGTAGGGTAAAACGATAGAATTTTGAGAAAATGAGCTTTTAAGTTTAACATGTGAGAACACATACAAACTTTTTTAAAACCATTTTTTAAATGTATTTATTCATGGAAAATTCATGTCCAATTTGGCATTCAGTTGACATCAATATCATGAATGGAATTCAATGGTTAAACATAGAAGGGAAGAGAAAACGTGCTTCAAGAATAGATTTTAACTCCTTTTAAAAGCAGTTTCCATTATTTGTGTATATTATACCCTACCCTCAAAATAATTCAAAGTAAAATATTTAGAAGTCAAATCAATGAAAACCCTTTGAGCACACTGTAAAAAAAATGGTGGATCTATTTTTTTTTTTAAAACCGATTTTGGTCCAAAAAGTGATTTTTGGCGTTATCAGCCTGTAGCTCGAAACAGTCTTGGGTGACTTTAAGTACCTTTCTCTAGGCGTCTAGACGCACGCACAAATGCTTTTGGCAGAAGAACATTCTTCCTTTGGGATCAAACTGATAAACTGATTTCTGTTTCTTGTGTATTATAAAGATAGTCATATATACATGTAAGTTGTTCATGCAAAAAAATTATTTTTTTTGTATGTTAAAAAATACTAAAATACATTTGTTCACTTTTTCAAAACTTAAACAATAATCAGAAATCTTTTTCATATGGCCTCTGATTAGAGATGGTGAGTTTTTTCAATTCTTCAGTCAGCCAAACAATAACAAAAATTGGCGTGCATATATTTAATTCTTACCTTTTGATTCTAAGATGAGTTCATTGCACTTTGATTGAAGCTTTGTGGTGTAAAAATAATTTTTAAAAACTTCAAGGCTTGTTCACCTGGGGCTTTATGGAGCAAAGGAAGATAGGACTGACATTAATAGTCACAAATATTGGTCCCTATAAATTAGGTGCATTATTCTCCACTCTGGTGCTGAGTGTGATTATGAATGGTTTACATCTTGAGAAAAGTTTTATAAAATTTAGGAGTAGGGCTGGGTGGGCTATAAAATTGCAGTGGACCGATATGCAGTAAAATGAAAATAAACATCTTAAGGTGGATATCAAATTCATGATTTTGGATGCAGCGCAAAGAGTCTACACATACCAATACTCTCTACTTTTGGTTTGTTTGAGTGAACAGATTCATTTCAACACGAAAATGGCTATGTAATGCAGAAAAAGAGCAAGGTAAACAGGCAAAAATAGTAAAGGGAAAAACAGAGGGGGAGAACTAGTTTTGGCCTCCTACAACATGATGTTTTCTGCATACTATCCTTCAATTTTTTAAAAATATAAAGACAGTAAAACCTTATTGAGGATAGACAGGAGCAGCTAACATGCAAGCTCGTCCCGTTCTTCTTATCAGATGGCATCTATTTTATAGGTAGAGGTACAAAGCAAATAAAAAGAAAGCAATGACTAATTACAGATGTTAGAAGATGTACGTGGTATACCAGATTATTTCCTTACTATGGAAATACAGTCAGACTTGTCCAAGACAACCACCTATATCTAAGAGAAAAGTGGCCATCTCAGACAGCTTACCTTCTTAGACAGGGTCATTTTCGTATAATTTTTTTTTTAAGCTGGGAAGGGGGATTAGAAGTGGTCATTTGTCCAGATGATTGTCTTGGACAGGTGGTCATTAGAGCAGATTGGACTGTAGAACTTGTTTAGTGCATCTACCTATTTAGTCAGCCCTGTGCTGCTGCTTGGCAAAATTGGACTGTAATATGCCGATTCTCCATAGACTTGCTGACTCCTTAACTATAAATACCAGCTAGCATCACAGTGATGTCAGGATTCTTTGATAAATTAAGGAGACAAGTTTGGTTTCACCATGAGGATGAAGAGGCCAGTAATCAGCCTAACGCATCTGGACCTCATGGAGCAGATGCCGAAGATGATGGATATTTGCTTGTGGGCCAAACACTCAGTGAGAGAACAACAGTTTGTGCCCAGGACTTTCCAAAGAACAGTGGTCCAAATGCTCCACCAACATACCACCAGGTTTGTATATCACTAGAATTTGTCCCATTTTCTTTTCTGGCTCTAGATATATTTTCATGTGGTGAGGCTTTATAAGATAACTTGAAAGGGTTATATTTCCAAACCTTTTTTTTTTACGGACAATGAATTTAAAATTCATTCTTCCGGATTAAACCAGGAATTTTAGTTTGTTCTTTTTGTTCAAGGAATAGATCTATCTCTAACTTTTCACATCCAGAGATAAAAGACAATGACTTTTGATGCCCTGTTTCTTTCCTGGTCTACTTATTTTTTAATCCATTTTGAGAGTTCATTGTCCCCAGACACATATGATTCCATTTCAACTGCTTTTCACTTCGAATGTTAAACAAGGGTGGTGAAAAAATAGGTTACTGCCATGTGTTACTGACAGCAAAGGTCACAAAGGGGTTTTTAGAAAATTTATAAATGTTTTACTTGGTGGGGGGGGGGGGGGGGGGGGGGAGTGTGGCAGCTGAAGGCTGTCTCACTTATTACTGGATCAAATGTTACCAAATATCATACATATAACAAGCGTAGTAAGGAGTCTTAAAATCCACAATCAAATTTGAGAAAAAAAATTGCTTCCATGGGTATGGCAGCCATATTGGATTTTGTTGACATGTCTTATGTAGTTAATACAGCACTTATTTTTCATGGAAATAAATTGGGTTTTTGGTATGCATCTTGGCAAACAATAACTACAAATCTGTGTGATTAATTTTTCCTAAACGTACTAGAAATTTTTTATCGTGAATTTTTTCCTGAGATAGTATTCACGTTTGCAAAAAATTTGTGAAAATCCATACTCCAAACTCCAGTAACAAAAACCTATTCCATATATCAATAATTCATCACACAAATTTTTACAATTACGCATCGGACACACGGCCCTAACACACAAATACCTCCTTCAAGGAGAAGAGAAGCCGTTCTGTGTCGGATACGACACAGATTTTACCATTTGACACATTTTAACCGAATGTCTAGACTTCGGAGAGACCCGAAGGAAATATTTTTAATGCAAAAAAATTGAAAGATGTTTTTTCTGTCGTTGTTCCCAGCAGAATTTCAGATTTTATGAAGGCCAGTAGATCTAGCCTTTATGGAAAATTAGAAAATAGATTGTTTGAATTTTTAAAGTGTTATTTTAAAAGTTATTTAAAATTTAAATCTGAAGTCTATTTACCCTCTATTTTTAGCGTTTTAACAATTTTAAATAGAAATATTGACCTGTATCAGCCAAGAAATGAACTGTGGAGAAAAAAAACTTGTTTCGTGTGCTCATATGACTTTATGCAGTTGCGAGTGCTGTAAAACCCCTTACTAAAACAAAATACAAATTTTTAGTATTACGTCTTTTCTTCTTTCTGTGAAAATTTCATGAAGATTGGATCAAAAATGGTGAAGTTACTAAAAAGAGAATGTAATAGAAAAACCACGTTTCAAGAAAACGGGCGATAAAGAAAAATGAAAGATGGACTTTATGAGGAAATGGTGGTGACAAACATGCCCGGTATGGGAAGCAATAAGGATATGGTGGGTTCTTATGCGATAAAATAGTTGTAAGAAAGGCTGTAGAAGCTAAAAATGCCTACAACTTAAAATCCGTAGTTTTGAGCTGAATCGGGACTTTCGGGGTGTGCGCACCCTTTAAAAATCTTCTCCTTTTTAAGTTTTTAAAGGGGCTTCAATATCCAAATTAAATTATAACAACAATTTTATTACCATAAACAAAGATCAAGAAGCATTTTTCTTGTTACTGAAGTATTCATTTATTTGTCTTCATAGGTGTCCAGTGACCTTCCATCATATGACAATGTCTTGAATGGAGGATGCGTCGTGCTTTCTGGACCATCAATGTTCAACAGTGTGAGCCTGACTCCTGCTGACACTCAACAAACTGTATTGCATCGTCACCAACTTTCTCCTGTCTCCGACATTCCATTCGAATTGCACCCCACCCTGCGTATAAGGCAAGGCATCGGTTCTATTTTCGATGGAGTTGACCTTGTGCCAAAACAGTTTGACTGGGGAAAATATTCACACAATTTTGACCATGAACATTTGTGTCTCCGAGAATTAAATAGTGACAGAGCTGCAGATTTGAGTGACTTTTCGTATACCTCTACGTCATTGTCTCCAAATGTCTATGACAGAGGTAGCAACAATGAAGATCTAATGACATTTTGATTGCTAAATACATACAAAAGCATGTTAGCCTATGAGTATTTTTAAGCTGTTATGCGGAGCGGCCATTGCTTACATTTACTTTTTTCGGGGAAATGCTTAACAGTAAGATGTCCTCAGACTTTATCATGCAAATCAAGTGCCTTTTTTATGCACCGTACTTTCAAATGGTAAACCTGGGTTTAAAAAGTGGAAACTCCATGTTTCTTTGCCACTGTAGTCCCTATGCTGCTACTGACCACTTCTAAAAAAATCTTTTGGAAGTAGGAGGCACGTAAGACAGTTTATGAGCAGTGACATTCTTGAATGTCAAGAGTCCCTTTTGACAGTAAAGATTATTCCTCTAATGTTCAATTTTACTCAGAGAGTATGGAAAACATCAGGTATGAAGAGCTGCATTTGCTGTGAGAACAATTTGCCTTCGTTATTGATGATTGCCAAGAAGTTTTGAGTGGAATAGAGTAGGTGATGGAATGTTTTACTTTTGACTTCTATCAATGTGTGAATGTTGGTCATGTACAAATGCAATCTTGAATGCTATGCTGTTTATGTGCTGATGTTATGACGAAAGTTCTTACATTTTTCCCCCTGTTTCTGTTATAATCTATGTAATTTCAGGTTGAACTAAAAATTGCAGTCTCTGGTCTCCTGACATTATATTCACTGAGTTTATTTACTTCACCTTTTTCAAGTCATAATCTACTTTTTTTACAGAGTTCCTTGCACAACCTTTCAAACATGATTTATTTACTTTGACAAATGTTTGGAATTCTTGATTCAAATACTTTTTTAAAAGAAAGTCATGAAACTTACTTAAAATGGGCTATTGTTTGAGGTTATTTTCAAGTGTCAATTTTTGGTAGCTCTTCAGGCTTTTCTGTCCCTAACCTCTTTTTGTCTTCCAGCTATTTTTCAGTTATATATCAGCAGCATTGTGTCAATGGGCTTCTCTTTGTTGTGTTTCTGCAGAAACATTTTTGTTTTCAATTTTAGATGTCTAAAGCGTATTTATATCATGATCACAACCATTTTGATATTGTATTTCTTTTCTCTGTTATATGAGATGTGGACCTATCCATGACCATAAAGACCAGTGTGCTTTCAAAGGGGCTGATATTCATTTTTATCACTTACTTTTTTATCTGTGCTATGTATTTTCCCCCTTGTATATTATGCATTTATGTGGAAAAGGCCAGTAGAAACTATGATACTCGAGTATGTCCTGTCCTTCACCGCTTTAAATAATTTTAATAAGTTATGAAACAGATGCTTTTTCTTGTCCTTTATTGGTTTCGCTAGAAAATATACAACCTTATTTTAAATTTGTGGGGAGTAGTTTAAGAGTTTGGATTTAGTTGAAAGTTTTTCTTAATTTCTTAACATGTTTACCACAATTTTGACTGTCAGTAAGACTATACTTTTAAAATTTTTCTGTCAATAAGCTTTAGTTTATGAAGGATCCTTACAGAAAAAAAAGTGAAGATACAGATATTGTGCTAGCATTAGTGGACTGGTGTGTGGAAACTCGGCTATCAACAAATTATATTTATGTAAAAATAATAGTGGGTGGCCTTTACTATTTCATTTAACGTTTCAAAATTCATTTTCAAAATAGGCCCTAAACAAAAAAATTACAGTTTATTTTAAAAGAATTACTGTCATGCATGGTGTGTTAAATGGAATTCTGTTTTGTCTCTTGTTTTTCACTGGTTTGAATTTGCCTGTGGTATTCAGTATGCCATGAGGGCTTATGATTGTTATAGACTATTTTCAACTCAAAGTATATTACACATATACTTACTTTACCATACCAGAACTTTTGACTATAAAATTATGTATTCATTCCTTTAGTTGTTTCTATTTCGTTTTTTTGCTAATAGTTGATGATCGTTGCCATAAATTTTCGGCGTGGAACAATGAAGTTTATCTTATAATTTATTACCATCTATGAGAGGCTATGGTAATTTTTTTTCTTTCTCAAATGCTGTTGATATCTGGTATTTTTGTTGTACGAAAGATTAACCAATGGTCCAGCCTTACTAAAGATAGACTTCCAATACTCCACAGTGTGCCTGCAAAATTAAATATTTTGTGTTGCGTAGGGTGTTGAGCCTGTTCATAAATGATAGATCATACCAAAGAGATTTTGTGTGTTTGTGTGGGTTAAATAAATTTGTTTCTACTCTTTTGTATTTAACTTTTTTTTCTTCACTCTAATGATTTTGTACTTTCAGTAAATGTTGTCCCGTCACATCCAAACATAGAAACTTCCCTTCTAATACATTGTATGGAGATACAATAGATTCTGGTTAACACGATATTCCTGATGATACAAAAGAATTTCAAATCCCTACTTTTTCCCCCCTCTTTATTCTGTGCATTGCAGCTTCCTTTAACCCTGTTCAAATTTCCAGCAAATCTGGTTACCTCAAATAAATTTTAGGCAATGTTATCATACTTACCAGGTGGCTATCCCCCTTCACTACTGTTATCTATACACGCCACTCAACCTACCTTCTTCAACTTGCAGTGCAAATTATTTTTATGTTTGTGACCTATTTTATTACTTCATAGGGCCCCTTACCTTCAGGCAGCTGCTTTCAGATTTTGAAGGCAAATGGCCAGGACAGGACTAGAGAAAAGGAAAGGAGGACAAAAGAGAACATAGATAATAATATTTTTTCATCGCTGGCAGGTTTTGATCCAGGAATCTTTTGACTAAGAAGAGAACGCGGTATTGCTATATTACTAAAGCCCCCTTCCCTTTTTTTCAATTTCCAAAAGCTGACAGCTTCTTCTTCTTCTTCTTCTGGCTGGCCTCCGTCAGGAGGGCGGCAGTCTGCCGCAGGCAGACAGGTAAGCGGAAACCTCTTGTGGCCTCGTCCAGAGTACATCCGGGCCCGGTCTCGCGTTGTTCTCCATAAGTGGGCCTCGATGTGCTTCCCCCCGTAAGGTCCTTCTCTTTGTCCCTCTCCGGTGGTGGCTTCACCTTTCCCCCAACGGAGTCGTGCACTCGCGCTTTCTCCCATGCGTGGGCAATGATGTAGCGCGAGATGCACGAGCTTGCTGACGCAATATCGACTGGAGTGTTGGACTGGTCAAGGCGGCCTCCCTTGTTGGCCAGGGCGTCAGCTCTGTCGTTCCCGTAGATGTTGCAATGTCCTGGTATCCATTGCATGTGAAGGTGTCCGTGGATTTCACAGCATTGGCAGATAGTGATCCACATTTTGTCCTCTATGTCAGTACGAACTGCAGTCACTCCGGACATTAAGTGTTGAACAACTGACTGGGAGTCTGTGAAGATGTGGATTCTTTGAGAACGTGGTTGTTTTTCCAGCCATTGCAGTGCGCGGAGCAGGGCAGTAGTTTCAGCTCGGTAGCTGCTTCCGTATAGTCCCGCGGGCACGGATACGCATGTTTCCTCCCCAGAAGATTTGTCTAAACACCAGTATCCTCCTCCACATAACCTGTAGCCGTCGGTGGCATGGCCGTCAGTGAAGATATCGAGGTCGGACGTAGGCAATCGGCGCAGTCTCGAGAGCTGCTTCACGTCGCATATTAGGTGGATCTGTTTTTGTCGTAGACACTGCAAGTTTTGAGTTGATTGTGAGGTTGCAGGGGGTCTTCCACGGGGGAGTTGTACTCACTGGCTGCAGGGGTTCTCGGATTAGATGTTCTAGTCCTGCGTTATTAGAGCTCTGTCGGCCCACTTCCCTCCAACTGTTGATGGACTTTAAGCGTATTTTTGATGTTCCTTCAGCTGAGGCACGGATCGGGTTGTCTTCTGGGACTCTTCTTGCTCTCTCGTATGCCACAGCAGTTGCAATGGTAGACTTAACCTCAAGTGGGATCAGGCCAGCTTCGTTTGTGAGCAGCATTGCATTTGAGTCTCTTGTGCACCCGGTAATTATTCTGGCTGACGAGTTTTGAACAACATTTAAGGTCTCACGATTTGTTTTCGCCATTGCTGGGAACCAGGCTGCGTGGGCATACTGGATGGCTGATCTGATGTACGCGATGTACACCATACGTAGATCTTCTATGCTGCATCCCCAGTCTGTGCCGGAGAGCCTGCGGAGGAGATTGACTCGTGGGGCCAGTTTTTTCTTTAATTTATTTATATGTTCTTTAAATGTTAACTTGCAATCAAAGGTCACGCCAAGGTAGGTAGGTGTTTTGTTATAGGGCACCTCCTCATCTCCCATTGTAAGCTGAGTGCGCCAGGACATTTCACGGTTCCGTGTCGTGAAAAAAGAGTATTCGCATTTCGCCACGTTAATTTCCATCTTCCAGCGTTTTGACCAATCGCAGATCTTGTCCAGAGCGGCTTGAACCATCGTGGCGGCAGTGTCAAGATTTTCATGGGATGCCCATATTGCCAGGTCGTCTGCGAAGAGGCTGGTGTTGGTGTCTACAGGTAGGTCACCTACGATGTCGTTGATGTATGTGAGGAACAGAAGTGGTGATAATACTCCGCCCTGAGGGACGCCGGCGAGGAAGCGATAGTAGCGACTTTCTTTTCCCTCAAAACGAACTCTGGACCTTCTGTCGTCTAGGTAGGCCTTGATCTGTCGTTGTAGACAGGTGGGCATTCCTAAGGCGTTTATCTTGTAGAGAAGTCCAGTATGCCACACCTTGTCAAAGGCTCTTGAAAAGTCTATTAGACAGAGTATGGTTCTCTTTGCTTTGTGTCTTGGTCCAGAGTTGTCCTGAAAGTTGTCGGCTATGTGTTGCGTTATCCTAGCGATCTGGTCCTCTGTGCTACGCTGTGGTCGAAAACTGGCTTGCATATTGCATAGTTTTTGCTGGGTTTCCAACCAGAATGCCATTCTCACTTTCACTAATCTCTCATATAATTTCCCAAGGCAGCTTGTTAGTTGGATGGGTCTGTACGAGGTCATTTGGGCAGGGTCCTTCCCGGTTTTGAGGATAGGAATTATCGTACCTTTTCGCCAGGCTGCTGGGTATTGGGCAGTTTTCCACACTCTATTGTAGACATTCAAGAGAGAATTCAGCCAGCTTCTGGAAGATGGGTCAGCATCATATTGTGGATTCCGTCATCTCCTGCAGACGTATTTTTGAGAACTTGTAGTGCAGCATTGAGTTCTGCCATAGTCAGGGGTGAGCATATTCCATTCTGGCATTGGCATGTTGTTTTCATTGCTGTGTAGTTACTTCGATGCATCTTGCGATCAATGTTAATAGTTTCTCCTTTTGCTTCCAGTTCAGCCTTTGTGTCACTCTTGATACAGGAGACCTCACAGTACATCTGGGCAAACTTCTTTGCTTTCTTTGCATTGTCTGTTATCGTCTGTTGGTTAACTATTAGAGCTGCTCCGTGTGGTGATGATCTAGATTTCCCATTCAGGGCATTCACAGTTTGCCGTATTTTGCTTAGGTTGCTGCGCGAGTCTAGTGTCGATACGTAATCTTGCCAGCTTTTCCTTTTTGCTTCTCGGATGATGCTTCTGGTCTTGGTACACTGTTCCCGCCATAGTTTGCAATCAAGCTCTCTGTTATTTGCTAGTTTTCTTAGTCTAGTGCGCTTGGTAACAGCTTCTTGTACTTTTGAGTTCCACCATGCGGCTCTAGTTCCACTGCATCCATTGGGGATTGTAGTTTTTGCTATCTTGGCGATGATATTAGTCAGTATACTGTTTTGGGCATCAGTAGATTTTGCCTGAGCAATTTGTGATAGATTTTCGTTGAACTCTAACTCCAGTAGCTCCGAGTATCTTTCCCAGTCTGCCTTGCGCAAGATCAGACGTTTTCTAGGTTTTGGTTTTGTTTTTCTTTCGATAGTTTGATAGTAATTTGAATAGGAAGGTGGTCAGATCCCATGGAATTTTCCAGAACTTCCCATTCTGTCTTTAGCATAATGTTCGTATGAGTGATGGAGACGTCAGGCGTTGACAGGCCGCCTGTGGCTGGGTTAATTCTTGTGTGGGCCCCGTCATTTATAACCATCATTTCATTGGAGTCCACCCAATTTTCTATATCAAGTCCTAGAGCATTTGAGGGCTGGTACAAGTCCCAAGTGTTGCTGTGTCCATTTAAGTCCCCTAATATCATAGAGTTTTCGGAGGTTGGCCAGTATGCTGGGCTAAAGTGTTGTGTTCTTTGATCTTCTGCATTGGCAGTGATAGGAGGAATGTACACATTTGTAATTTGGAACTCCTCTTTTCCGTTGTAGATATTAAAGGAGTGTGTCTCCGTGGTGTTATCATTTGGGGCCCGGTATAATTCGGTTATGTTTTTATGTTGTATGCCAGATTTTATCAGACTTATGATTCCTCCTCTGGCTGTGGTATCCTGACTGGTTCGGGTGACAGTTCTATTTGTCTTGATGGAGTTAAAACCTTTGAAGGTTGGACAGTAATCTGGTTTAAAGTTTGTTTCCTGAATGATAAAAATGTCAATATCACGTTCTTCTGCCAACTTTGCCAGTTCGGCGCGTTTCTCGGTGTTGAGTCCGTTGGCGTTCCATTGAATGATTCTGAGTTCAAAATTTGGCTGTGACTGAGTTCGCGACAGTTGGGGTGGTTGTGTTTGTGTTCCGGTAGGCGCATTGCGACGCAAATGTTGGGAATGTTGGGGTATAAGGGAGCCGATTCAGATAGGGGACGGCACGGAGCAGGCCGGGCAAGTCCATGCGTGGTTGTGGGAGAGACGTCAAATTTCTGGGATTGATAGACCACTGCATTTGCTGTGTATCCATTTGGCACAGGTGGTGCATCGGATCGAGTAACCCCGATTGGTCACGTTCCTGTTGCATATTGTGCATGGGTACATCTCATCAGGTCCAGGGTTGATTTTGACATCACCGGCCATTATTAACAGGAGACTCAGATCAGCCGGTTCGGCTGAGCCTCCGGACAAAAACTCGGTCGCCTCCATTCCTGTCTGAATCCAGGGGTTGATTGGCGTTAGGCCCGGAGCTGTACTTAATCCGGGGTCTGCAGCACCGCGTAGAGGTCCCAATAATGACTGCAGAGCTGCACCTGCAATTGCTAAAAACAAGTTGCACAAGGCCAAGCATGTGATCTTGTCAGTTCTGGTTACAACAAAGAGAAAGGAATAACCTCTCCTTTTTGTACTTTTCACAAGCTTACTGTTTAACACTCACAAATTGTCTGTTCCCATGTAGTTTGTGTTAGTGGGTGGTTGGCGGGTGCTCTGGTGTGGTTTGCTTC